AGTGAAGGTAGGTACTCTGCTCTAATCAGTCTTATATTATGCCATACAAAGCATTCAGAATCTGAAACGTGATTGAAAAGATTAGTCCTTATGATGATTACCTCAGCTACCTAGGTGTTGAATTAGTAATTCTGATGACTTCCCTTGATCTTGTTGATTCTGAAACGCGTATGATTTGAAGCACCATGCTGTTTGGGTTTAACTAAGATGACTATCTCTCTGGTGTACTGTTTATCTCCTTTCTAAGTTCAAAAGGCATAATTTGTTTTACTAGATTTGAGCTGCTTTGAACTGATTTCAAGTTTAATACTACATGCAGGTTATTTGTCTCTTTGGTCGATCATAACCTACTGCGGCAAGTTACAGACTGCAATCAAAGGTCAGTCATACCTTAACGCGTAATGAGCCGTGAGTGGATAATGCTTAAAGATCATTAGTGTGCTGATTATGAGTTGGGTGTTAATGAGTTCATGGAAGCTGCTTCTAAGCATGTTGATGAAATTGGTAGGGTTAGATGTCCGTGCAAGAACTGCAATAATCTCTACTTTAAGACATTAGTCTAGGTGCGGGGAGACATATTTAAGCATGGCATGGTCGAGACATATAAAACGTGAGTCCATCATGGTGAGTCTTATGGTGTTAGTAATAGCGGTGAAAACCCACCGACTGAGTCTGACGATGTTCGTAATGAAGAGAGTGGGTTACAGACCGACATGTCTGAAATGTTGGGTGATTTTGGTAGGACGAATGAATGTCTAACAAACGCTAAAACTTCCCACGGTCCTAATAATAATGGTGCATTGGCAAGGCTCCTCAAAGATGCCAATTGCCCTCTTTACCCTGAATGCAAAAAAAATTCAAAAATGTACTATGTTATGAAAATGATGAACATCAAGATACATACAAACAGTAGTGATAAAGCATTCAACCAATATCTTGAATTAATCAAGGAAGGTTTCAGTAGAAGATGAGAAGGTTAAAGAGAACCCTAACATTTCCTAACAATCCCTTAAAGCTAACTTTCCGTCTTGGTTGAAGCAACATGTAAGTTATGGTGGATGATACCCCCATTCCTGCCTTCGGTGCCATTTTATTTCATTATAAATAACTGATTTCCTTGCTAATCCCTTAGAGCTAACTTTTTTGTTCTTTTCACTACTTCACTGACTGCCTAGGTTACAGAATTGTGTTTGGCTGGTTCCCTTAAAGCCCGAGACCATTTACATGTATTAGGGTTAGGGGCAGACACACGCGTCACTAGGTACAACGGCATCCTCTTTAATGGCGTTCGTTACCAAGTTTTTGACCCAAAACAAACCCATAGGACTCAGAACAGTGGTTTATTTGTGGAAGGGGCTCATAATGGAGAGAATATTGACTTCTACGGTGTGCTAGTCGACATATATCAACTGACCTACTGCTATGGTAATCGCGTTTTTGTGTTCAAATGCGATTGGTGGAATGTAGGAGATGGCAAACATGGGATACGTTCAGATGGGTTCATTACTAGTGTTAATATGGGTAGAAAATGGTATCAAAATGAGCCATATATATTGGCTGGTCAAGCGAATCAGGTATTTTATATACCTGATATAAAGAATGGTGGTGCTTGGCATATTGTTATCAAGGTTACTCCCCGACACGTGTATGATGTTCCTGAGAAAGAGGAAGGGGAAATCAATGATTCTGTGTATGCAAGTGAGGCGTTTCAGCAAGAAGAGAGTGGTGTTGGCAATGTGATTCAAGTGTAGGACACGGAGTTGGATGACCTGAATCGTGCAAACGAGGCTCCCACAATGGTCAGTGAGAGTGTTATTAAAAAAAGGGTTGTTGTACTCGACACAGAGGATACAATGGAGGTCGAAGAGGATGACACATTAGCTGATTTTGATGATGTTTTGGTGGGAGCAGCACCTAATAACCCTTTGGACGAAATCGACAGTGACGATGAATATGACAAGTAGTGAGTGCATAATGACAGCTGGTCCTTTTATTTTACGTCTTGTTTTCTACTTATTGCTAAGACAAAATACTCATTTCCCCATTTAACCAAGTACAGAAGGATTTGATTTCGCATTTACTTATATTGTTTTACAATGTATGCGAAATTGTGGTTAATAAACTATATATACATTGCTAAGAAAAAATATTCACTTCCCTATGTTGTCTATTATACTCTACATCTTTGTTGAGTTTATACGTTTATAAGTGTTTGGATATTTGCTGACGGTTTAACTTTGTTTGGACTGTGAGCAGAAATGCCACCAAGGCCTGAAAAGAAAGCCAGGACTGGGAAGCAGCCGATGACGGTCTGTAAACGAGTGACCAGATCCCATCCAGCTAGGGATGGCAACAAAACCCGAACCCACGGGTACCCACCCGACCCAACCCGGTCAACGCGGGTAAAACCTGTGTTGACGGGTTTTGGGCCGGGTTTGGGTTTAAACCCGCTACACTATTCACCGGGTCGGGTTGGGTTTGGGTTTAGGTAAACCCGCCCCATGGGTACCTGCCCACACACATATAATTACTTTTCCGGTATATTTAATATTCTAAATAATATATCTTCCTTAAACAACTAATATTCTTTATGTTTGTTGAGACATGTATAATTTGTTCTTTCTAATTGTTTAGAATGAAGTTGATATTATGAAGTGAAAAATGAAAAAACTTAGTTGACGAGGAAGAAACTTTCAATTAATCTTATTGTTTATAGATGTTTATCTTTAATTTTGAACAATTTGTATTGATCATTTGCAGTTTGCTTGTATGCTCTAGATTGGTGTTTTTTGTATGATTAATTTGTATGAGAAAATTGATGTTAAACTTTTATTTTGAAAGAAACTTGTTATTGTAAATTTTTTACTAGAAAAACCCACGGGTACCCAGCGGGTTGGGTTGGGTTTGAGTTTTTCAAACCCAACGGGTTTTACCCCCGGTTTTTTTGGCGGATAAACCCATGGGTTTGGGTTTGACAAAACCCGCCCCAACCCGACCCATTGCCATCCCTACATCCAGCGAGGAGTGTAGAGAATGCAGGGAGCTCGTGCATGGGTCCACTGAGGTCTCCGATAAAAAATGCAGGTCTCCGAGGGGTAAAGGGAGGTCTAAGAGGGGTGAAGGGGTGTCTCCGAGGGGTGGAGGGAGGTCTCCGAGGGGTGAAGGGGTCTCTCCGAGGGGTGAAGACCGGGTGTCTCCGAGGGTTCCAAGGAGGACTACTGAACCTATAGAGGAGATTGACGAGAATGCAGATAATACTGCCACATCCATGCCTAAACAACCGGAAAAGACAGGTGTGTGTTATCCTAACTCTTCTTTTGTCACTTGAGAAACATGGATTATCACATTTCTATTACTGTTTTGGATGATTATAATTTGACCTACATCCATAGGTGGCCGAAAGAGGGGGCTGACCAAAGGTGTTCAAGTGATGACACGAACCACTGGGGGAGTAGGATCGATGGAGTATTCCTGCAGGAGAACAACCACGCAATTGTGGGCCCTAACCAAAAGTTGCTGAACACAAGTTGGTGTCGTTGCTCGTATGATGGCTCCCATAAGGAAGTACTATTGGACTGAGTTGACTGATGAAGACAAACACCCTATGTTTTTTAAACTAGAGGTACGGTAATCTGTCTGTGTTAATTTAAAATTATAAATTGCATAGTCTGAATGCATGGAATTTGATGAAATTGCAGAGCGAGTTTGCATTTGCCTCAGCTATTGAAGAGGTGAGGAAGGCTTTAGATAAGAAACTCCACAAACGCTTCTTGAACTACAAGTACACCTGTCATAAACACTACAAGGAACAGGAAGACTCGGCCAAAGCTCGTCTGAACCCTCCAGAAGGAGTGAAACAGGAAGACTGGGAGGCCCTCTGTGAGCACTTTGAGAGTGATCGATTCAAGGTAAAAGTTGTCGTGTTTGGATATTTGATGACACTTGTACAAGATGACAGCTTAGCACACATTCCTGTTTGCAAGGGCGGAGCACAAATAACATACAAAACAAGGCTAAGCAGCAGTATGCTCACACTACTAGGGCAAAATCCCACGACCAGAGAGTGTATGAAATGGTATAGCATTAAGTTTTATTTACATCTTTGTACAACAAAAAATCTGAATTTGAACAGCTGACTATAAACTAGGGGTAAACAGGCCACTTACCACACCTTTACCTTGTTTGAACATTTGAACTATCATGTATAGGAGCAAAAGAAGCTGGCTGCACAAGTAGCTCAAACGGAGCAGGTAGGTGACCAGGATGCTGAGGATGATGATGCGGTGCCCGTTGACATTGAGTTGTATGCCAACACACACAAGAAGGCAAGTGATGGTACTTGGGTGAGCGAGGAACCGAAAGCGAATTATGTAAACCCTTCTGCTCCTCTTATATTGTGTACCTAGTCCACGAACATGAATGGATATTCGATGTATAGTTATTGTAATAGATTGATTGAATTAAGATTGAATTAGTGGGTTGAATAGGGGTATCATAATCCCTCTCACTTTGTTGCTTCATGAGGGTAAATTTGGACGGTTCTTTGATAACAATGTTTTGGCTGCTGCGTTCAGAATCACAAGTTGTTTTGTTGAGAGCAATGCCAATTATAGTGTGTCCTAGGACTAAATAGTGATTCTGTGTTGTTAGTTTGCTGATGTCTCATAAGCCATACTTCTATTTGCCACATATGCTCTTTACAGTTTATTAGTTGATGGAAATTAAATTAAGCAAACCCCTGAAAAGAATTTCTCGAAGAGAACCATGGCTCGTGGTTGCTCTTATGTATGCACTAACCATCTGAGTTGCAATTATCTAACTGAGCATTAGTGGGAGTTCTGTTTGCCACAATTCACTATGTTGGTAGTGTGAAGTGGAATATTACAAGTAAATTACAAGTCCTCGTTTACCTTCTGTGAACTTTTTTTGGGAGATCTTTTATGTTGTGGCATGTATATTTGGGTGTGGTGACTTTTATTTTTGGTGCAATGTAGGAGGCTATGCTGGCCCTCCATGCCCAAGCAAAGGCAGATGGGAATCCACTGCTGGGTCGTGACATCGTTCAGAAGGTCTTGCAGAGGAAGCTCAAGTATGGACCTAAAGAAGCAGTGAGGAAGTCGGCAAGAGAAGTTCAGCTGGAAGCAGAACTGGCAGCAGCAAAGGCAGAGGCGAAAAGTAAGACCAAGGAGTTGGAGGCCAAGCTGGTAGAGCAGGATGAGAAGATTAAAGCTCGGGATGAGGAGATTGAAAAACATAAAGTAGAGCTTGATATGCAACATGAGCGTTTGGCTAACCAAGGGGAAAAGATGGAACGAATGCGCCAGGCACAAGAGAAGATGCAAAAGAGTATGGAATCCGTCCTCGCCAAACTTGGCAGGAAATGATTGCAAAAGGTACATAGCTATTATTCAATGCATGAATTTAATCTATAGAACTTAGTCAATATGTTAGAAACAATTATGCACGAATGTGAAGTCTCAATCTAGCTTCTTCTCAAATTGCAAGTGCAGGTGTGGACGCATCCCTCCACGACCGTGTGTTCATATGACTTGAGGAGGTCGTCTTTAGAGAATGTTTTCCTGAACGGATATATTTATAAGTAGTTGTCGGCTGCAAACCCATTTTGGACAATATGGTTGTGTCGAACAGAATGTAGGAGTGTGTGATGTGATGCATGAATATTAACTATTTTGCCCTCTTTGTAAGCTGTGAGCTAGGACCATGAATATTCAGCAAACAGCGTTTACTATATGAATGTGATTGTCGGCTTGTTTTATGACATGTTTTATGTGTATTTCGCTTGTCACAGTTACTGCTTATAGGAATGAACAAATTATGACAATGTTCCATTATCATTTTATGTTTAAAATATGACAAACAATTCATCATCCTGACGTATATATTGTCAGAAAAATGGTATTACGACAGAGAAGATCCATTATTATGACAAACTGGACCGTCACTGAAGACAAAAAAATATGACAAAATTAGTTTATCATATGTGATTTCAAAGGGCACGTGCCCTACAGCTTAAAGTGACGAATGTGAATGACAAATAGTTCCCTCATAATATCTCGTTTAGTCAGTTGGTTGTATTAAAGTGTGACAAAATAAACAGTCTAATGTGACAAGATCTTTCTTCATGGTAGGACAACATATTATGACAACGATATATTGTCAAGTTGTCCGAACAATATTATGACAAACGAAAAATTAAAATTTGTCACATTAGACCTAATACGACGGAGCAAAGCTGATAAAGCCATTTTGTCATAACACTTGTCACTTTAGACAATAAGTGACAAAATGGCACACTAAAATGACAAATTGGGTGCGTCACAAAATACCTAATTTCTTTGCAATGCCCTTATATAACGTGTTGCAACACAAAATCGGCTTGAAGTCCTTCATATGAAGCTCATTTTCCACCTTAGCCACCATCGTAAACACTGTTGCATTAATTTTTCTTGGCATAAACTCAAACTGATAAAACTGATTGATGATGTTAACCACATCGGCCTTGAGCAAATCCCAATGAAGCAGATATAACTCAACTAGAAACCCATTCGGCCTTGGGGCCTTATCTCTCCCCAGCTGTTTGAAAACTTGAAAGATCTCATCCTCGGTTATGTTTCTATTCAGCATATCATTATCACCATCAGAGGCTTTGTGCGTAAGAATAGATTCATAAAAAGCAACTGGAGCCCCCCTAACATTCTAATCCGCCTCACCAATAAGATGAGTATAAAAATCAACAGCACTTTTGCCAATTAGTGCCACATCAGTTACATCAGAACCTTGCTCATCCTTAAGGATAAAAATTGTTGCCTGTGTGTTCTAACTTTTAATGCTTGATGGAAGAAGGAAGAGTTCATATCACATGTTTGGACCCATTGTGCTCGTGAATTTTGCTGAAAAAATTGCTCTTCTGCTTTCTGGACTTCCTGACAACGCTTAGCCAAAGCTGCTTCTTTTGCAATGTTATCAAAGGTAGGATTGGCCAGCACCTCATACTGGATATTCTCAAGCTGCGCCTCAAGAGCTCTAGCCTGACCCGATATATCCCAATACACTTCCTTGTTAAGTTTTTTCAACCTGACCCTTACTTTCTGCAGCTTGCCATAGAAAATATAGTGCGCGAACCCCTCATTCTGAATACCCCAGGCTTCAGCAACCATCTCAAAGTAGGATGGATGAGTACTCCAGAATTTGAAATACTTAAAGGGCTTGGGGAGACTTGCTAACCTTGGATCGGCATGAAGCGTTAAGCTACAGTGATCAGACGCCCCTGGAGGAGAGGTACGTGCAATACTAGAAGGGAAGGACACCGGCCACGCCCCATTCACAAATATCCTATCAATCCATTTGGCAATAGGGTTCTGCTTCTGCTTATCTCACCAAGTAAACCAAGCACACAACACTTTATGGCCAACTAGCTTCATAGCATCAATCCAATTATGGAATGTCGTCATACTCTGGCTAATATCCACTGTGTTTGAAGAATCCAAGGGGTCAGCAATTGCATTAAAGTCCCCCATAACAGCACACGGAACATTAAGTTCCTTGTACCCTGCAGCTCTCTATACATAATACAACGATCTTGTTCCCCATTAGGCCCATACACAAAGATCAGAAACATTTGGTGCAGACCAGCCACATGTACTTTCAGAAAATGCTCCCCTTCTCCTACTATTCTCACCTTCAAATTGGGTTTCCAAAAGAGCCACACACGACCAGAACTGGATTTACTATAATTATCAGCAAACGTCCACATAGTAAAGGACTTATTAACTATTTTCTTACTATTCTCCTTTGTTACTCTAGTTTCTAGAATCGCAGCAATGTCAATATCCAACTGTCTCAACTTTCTGAGCACAGCTGAATGCTTGTTAGAGGTGTTAAACCCCCTAACATTCCAGCATAAGACCTTCATTTACCACGCTTCTTACCCCTACCCCTTGGAGGAGGAGGAGATGGGGCCTTCTGCACTGACCTAGAAGTCTGCAATGTTGGAAAATATGTAGCATCAAGGAAAGGCTGCCTTCGAGTTCCACTTGCTACTGCCTGGTTAGTTGTTCTCCTCTTTTGATTCTCAACCAAAGTGAACCCCTCCTCATCCACTATCGCAGCAGCAATGGCAACAAGGGCAGTAGATACTTGACCAGATACCGTAGCAGCACCAGACACAGATCCATTATCATTAGAAGAGACTTGAACGGAGGTTTCTCAATATTACCCGAAATAGAGATAGCTGTGTGAGGCACTAGTTCACGAGCAGTCCCAACTTCATGGGAAGTTCCAGACCCAATGGGTTTCTCTGAGCTGTGCACTTGAACAAATTTACCCTCATCCACAGTCCCAACACTCAAGGTACCTTCAACAACCTTCTTCACCCTCCATACCTTGCTACCAATAGCCCCCACTGGTTCTCTGCAATCATGCCCAAATTCACTAAACTTCGCACACAACAATGGCATATTGCAGTATTCCAAATCAACCCAGAGATTACTCATACCATCAGGCTTCATATTCAACTTAGTAATACGCTTAGCTCGAGCAGAAATCTCCACACAAACTTTCGCGATCCTAAGCTTCGTCCCTCTTCTAGTGGGTACATCTATACAGAGAGGACGACCAACAAAGCTAACAATCCTTCCCAAGCCTTCCTTATTCGCAAACTCCGCCGGAAGATTGGTAATCCTGATCCAAACCGGGATTTTCGAATTGTCAATGGTTGAATTCCAGGTTCCCACTTTCGCAGGAACAACATATTATCCCGGTGATGCCACAGGCCACCCTCGAACACCCACTGACAAATCTCAGCCGACGGGAATTGAAACAAAACGAGCTTGTCACCAAGCTTAGATACGCGCACTTCTCCGTCCCTTCCCCTCAACCAATTTGCCCAGAATCGAAGCGAGGAGATCGAAGCAGAACGCCCTAGGAATTGCCCCACAAGACTATTCGCCCAGCGTTTCGCCCCTTCATCGATCACCGACCTCGGAATCCTTAAGGCTCCAACCAAACAATAAAAAAATGATGTTTTTCATAAGTCCAAATGATTTCTTACAATAAAAAAAGTAGGAAGACTAATTCTGAAATGTAGAAAACAAAATATTCCAAAAATATACTGTCAACTTTAACGGAATGCTCTTAACAATAAACTTAAGTGGTACCGGGTGCACATATAATAGAGTTCAGTGATGTCCGACGCCCTATTCAAAGTTAAGTGGTATGTCTACCCAAATTCTCAAAGTTAACGCTCTGTTTGGCAACAAGGAGGGTGCAAATGGCAGGGGGTGCAAGTCGAGGGGTAAATTGTTGGGGGTGTAAGTTGAGGGGTAAATTGTTGTTTGGATGAAAAAGTAGAGGGGTGCAAATAGAGTGAAAAGTAAGTAATTATATTATTATAAAATAGATTTATTAAAATTATAAAATATTATCACAAAATAATAAAATAAATATTATTATATAATAATAAATATACTTTAATAAAAATAGTTATTATATAACAATGCTCAAATAATAATTAATTATAACAATTGTAATAATCATTGATTGAGCGATCTCAAAACTCGAAGTTCAACTCGTAACTAGTCATCCTATATAGAGTTTCATGTCTATTTTAATCTTAAATTGTCAAACTTAGTCAAACATGTTCGAATTTGTAAGTTTTAACTATTTAGTCAAATAAACTGAGTTAACCAAACAATTTCTCTCTATCTTTTCCACAAACACTTCGTATCTCTAATTTTCAATGCAAATTCGAGTCAACCAAGATATCTAGATTTGACTTGACGAACATTGATAAACTTGTTTCCGGAGTCAAATGGTCAACTCCAAATAATGTCTACATTGATGATATTTAGCAATGCAGTCAAAAGCGCGATTCTACCTAGAAGCGGAAAATGGGTAAAATCATAAAGCGTAGAATCAAAGCGTAAAAACGTAAGTTTTTTACGCATACTGTAAAATAACAAAAAATGTGTTAAGTACGACATATACTATGTAAAATATGAGTGCACATAGTTTACATAAGTTAATTACCTGTAATTCATGTCTAAAGTTGAGAAACTCATAAAGTTCATAAACATATATCTTAACAATAACCTACCTTCCCCTCTATGCTAGTGAATTTGGGAAGGGCCTAGTTGGTGAATTAAATTACTCTATTGAAGCTAAGAATGCACCCAAGTACCTGATATGTATCTTTTAATCTCAAATATATCATGTTTTTTGTGATTTACCTTTAAAATATAAGTATTTTCATGAATAGAATACTCCTTTAGTGAACTAGAAGTTTAAAAGCGTAAAGTGTTTTGGTGAACTAGAAGCGTAAAAGCGTAAGCTTTAAAGCGCATTTTAGTCCCGATTTTATACACTT